GGGCTCAGAAAGAAAAGTGGAGAGCTGTGGAGAAAGCTTCCATCTTCTTAAGAGAATAGAGAAATTGTGAACAGAATATGGCCACTGCAGTGACCCCTAAGACAAACGAGGAACGTGTTGTTGCACAATAGACCAAAGGGGAGGGTTGTAAAGTAGTAAACGACTAGCTGGACTGTGCTCTAGGGTTTTGTGCAAGATAGCACTTGTAAGCCATGAAACTGGATGAAGGGGTGGCCTGCTTCCTCCTGAGCGCTTATAGTAAATTGTGGGGGTGGGGGGTGGGGGGAGGAATTGAGAAAGGAATTAAGCAAAAAGGAACCAGAACTTAAAGATCTGGAAAATTCTCAACTTACCCTATTACAAAAAATGGCAAAGCTTGTTTGAAAAGAACACCAAGGGTGTGGTCGAACAACCATTTGATAAGGAAAATAGTTTGGGTTGTAAATCATGGACCACCCCAGCAGAAACAAGGTCGGCTGAACGGAGGAAGACAGAGAACTGCTCAAAGGAAGGACGGCTGACAGACTTCTTAGATCCTGCAGGACTCGAGCGTTCAGCCGTTCAGCTGTGCACGTGTGTGATTCTTAAAGACAAAGGAAGAATGACTCCAGAGGAGATTCGGAGATCATCAGGGCTGCCTCCTTGATTTCAAACTGGGGGAAGGTATCTCCTAGGTTTCAACAGGGCAGATGGTGTGGCTCTGAAGCCTTGGGGACAGGGCCTCCTGGAGTCTTGGTGGGCAACTCCTTCCCCCCAGTTACAGAAGTGGAGCTGCCACCCCAGGGGGTGTGCAAGGCAGAGCTTCAAACCCAAGAGGATTATTCCAAGAGCCTTAAGACCTAATGGTATTTGCCTTGCTGGGTTTTAAACTTACTTGGGACCCTTAATCTTTTTTTTTTTTATTTAAGATTTTATTTATTTATTAGAATGAGAGAGCACAAGCAGGGGGAGAGGCAGAGGGAGAAGTGGGCTCCCCGCTGAACAGGGACCCAGATGCCAGGCTGATCCCAGAACCCTGGTATCATGACCTGAGCCAAAGGAAGACCCTTAACTGACTGAGCCACCCAGGCTCCCCAACTTACTTGGCATCCTTCATCTTTCTTTCGAATGAGAATGCTAATCCTCTGCCTGCCCCACCATTCCATTTTGGAAGCACACAACTTTCCTGGTTTCGCAGGTTCACAGCAGGAAAGGAATTCTGCCTTAGGATAAATCATATCTGGAGTTTCACCCCTATCTAATTTAGATTGTATTTAGATGAGACTTTGGGCTATAGACTTTAGAGTTGATGCTGGTCAAGAATTTTGGAGTTGTTGGGATGGAATGAATATAATCGGCATGCAATAAGGACATGAATTTGTTGGGGGTGGGCAAGGGCAGAATGTTATGGACTTAATGTTTCTGCCCCTCCTCCACTCATACGTTGAAGCCCTAACAGCTAATGAGATGGTATTTAGAGGTGGGTCCTGTGGGAGGTAATTAGGTTTGATGAGGTTTAGAGGAAGTCTTTAGGGTGGGGCTTCCATTATGGGATTAGCATCCCTTTTAAAGAAAAAAGACCAGAGCTTCTGTTCTCTGCCATGTGAGGACATTGTAAGAAGATGGTCACCTGAAAACCAGAAAGAGGTCCCTTACCAGGAACCAAACCTGCCAGCACCTTGACCTTGGACTTTCCAGCCTCCAGAACTGTGAGAAATACAGGTCTGTTGCTGAAGCTACTTGGCCTATGGTATTTTGTTGCAGCAGCCCAAGTTAAGACTGACTTTGTTCTAAACCGGTTAAGAATTGAGGCAAAGAGATTACCTATTAGGCCTCTGTGAATTTCAACATAGGGAGAGAATTGTGCTGGCTCCTCTCTTCTGCATATTCATGCACAATTCAGGCTAATCACAGTGGAAGATTTTATATGTGTTTTAGAATCACTGTTCCAAGGAGGTGTAAGTGCCATTCTGGCAGAGAGACAGTGGCTAAGTGACTACAAGACTTCCAAGGATTAATACAGATGCCACAGATGGAATTTCTACGTTGGGTGGAAGGTGGGACTAGATGAAGTCCAAGGCCTATCTGTGTCAGAGAATCTGGCACAATGCTATTCCCTCCTCCACATGGGATATTTCTCCAGGGTCTTTTATGTGGTGGGGACTGGTCAGATGCAGACATACTTACGGATAGGAACAAGTCCATTAGAGTCCAGAACATTCTGAAATTTCCTTGAATGCCCTTAATACCACCTTTTGATGCAGGTGAAGTGGGTCAGGGCAGCCAGCCATGTTCCCCTCCTGCTACTCAGCTCTGGCTGTCCGGATTCAAGAATAAGGAGAGCTCTCATCCACTAGATCCAGCTGACTTGTCTTGTCCAGTGGGGATAAGATACTTTACAGAAATCTGGCCTGAACCTAGGCTGGGCCAGAGTATCAGGCGAGAGGTTCTGAGTCCCCTGAAGGCTCCCACCTTGTTTCATTCTGGCATAGGAGTGCGGACAAGGAGCTTAACCGGGTGCAGCCTTAGTTTCCTTATCTGTACCACAGAACAGCCCCTGGCCCAGCATCCTCACAGGTTTGGACAATGGAAATCAAAATTAAAATACTGAATGGGCTAACATATGGGAAAGTAATTTTTCCATTTGAAAGACATAGGTTACCTTTATTACTGATGGGTAAAGTCCACACAAGCTTTTTAAAGCCAAGACCTATTAATAATCTAAGGGAGACCCTTGCTGGATTCTTAAACATATTGCTCTGAGTTCAACACAAAGCTTTTATTTAGAGCATGAATTGATTTCCACTTGTAAAGAAAAGCATGAGATAATGTTCTTTGTCTTAACTGGACAGTGAAGAGCCTCTTGAGTATTGGCCAAGAATCTAAGATTGGATTGAACCGAAACACAACCATTTGCTTCCTGAACTGCATCCATAAAGACTTTGTGGACAAATGCTGCCCCTGATAGAGCATTTACCAAGGCTTCAAGGTTTCATGCACAAGTCCAGAAAAATACCCATCTCTGTATTTTCTATTCAGTATACCCTCGGCTCTCCAATGTGGATAAAATTTGAGATGCTGCCCCCTATTACAACTTCTGAGGTAGCACATTTCTGGCCCTTTCAGATCAATGTGCAAGCTCTACGGCTCAAACAGTGACTAGGAGACACGAAAGGGTCACGGCTCCCTCCTCCCGTTTGCTTTCCAAAGAGTAATACATGGTAAAGCTTTTCAGAAACTAGAAAATTTGAAGAATCGCATGTACAAGCTTAAGAAAAATGACATTAATCTTAAATATGAATTCAATATTAAGCTGACTTAACATAAACTCACGATCATTGGTTTTTATTTAAAGGAAACACAAATTTAAAGGAACTAACTACTGACTATATTAACAAAATTTTCACAGTACTTTAGAAGCAACATGTTTAAAGAAAAACAGTCATTTAGCTCTACATCAGCAGACTTAAACACTTCATGAGATTTAAGCTTAGAAGAATTGAAAATTTTAAGACTAAACATTTTCTAACACAATTCTCTCAACCACTTAAAAAAATGTTTCAGCAACATTAAAAAAAAAAAAAAAAGAACAGTGAACACTTAAGTTGCAGAGTTTTCCTAACCTTTAAATAGGCAGCATATTTCCACGGTTTTCTTTATTCAGATTTAAGTTAAAATCCTGGAAGACATACCTGAGATTTTTAAAAGGATTTTAAAAGCGTGCACAATACTTTCCTAAATGCCTCCTTAAAGTAGTAAATTCTGTGAAAGTGAGCTGTAAACTTTATAGGTCAGTCGTGCCCCGATCTCAAAAGTATACATTCCCTCTATTACTAATGACTGTGAGTTACCTATTTTTTTCCTTAATCCCCTTGTCATAATGTAATCTTTACCTGACTTTTTTTTTTTTTTTACAACTATTTTAGAAAGTTATTTTTGTTAGTCCTAAGTGCTTTTTCATAAGCAACCAGTCTTGGGTTTTCAAAGGACTCTCTCCAATGATTGTTAACTTTTCCTTTTACTTTTTTTGTCAGACTCAAGGCTTGTTACAGCGCATAAAAAAGTCTCCTACAAATTTATCTTATGACCGAACAGTTACTTTTTCTAGAAAAGAGCAATTCCTGCAGTTTTATCCAGCTTAAGTCAAATACATCCTACTTTCCCTTACTAGTAACGAAAGTTAACATTCAGTCCTAGAACTCAAAAGCAGTGTTGAGCAAAAAAAAAAAAAAGAGAGAGAGAGAGAAACGCCCCCCCCCCCCCCCGCGCCCAGCCGCTGTGATTTGTGAATGCAATAAATCAACAAGTTTGCGTTTTGCGCCTCCCAGGTGCCCAGCCCTGAGCAGGTACACGACTGAGTAGGCCGGGAAATCAAGCCCGGGGTCCAAATGTGGAGATGAGCTCATCCCGAGCGCTCCACCAAAAAGCCAGCGCCCGACAGAGCGAGCGCCCATCCATCCCGAGGCCTCACCGCGTGTTTCCTCCCAACCCCCGCGGGCCTTCGGTTTACAAAGGATTCCTCTGCGCTCCAAAGCAAAAGGCACCATCGCGCTCGCAAGCGGCGAGTCTCCGGGAACCCCAGGCTCACTTCGCCCGGGCGGGAACAAGGAGCAAAGGAGGGAGCCCTCATTCAGGAGCCTGAAACGGAGCCGGGAGCGAGGGGTAACTACTACTTGCGTTTACGGTAACCCCTGAGAAGGAACGCGCTCAAAGAAAGGGTGGCGGTAGTGGTAGGATGGAGCTTCCAGAAGCGTCTGCTACTGCCTCGGACGTTTCTTAGCTCGACCTGAAAGAGTAACCTGGGCGGGGGGCGCGAGCCTGGGTGTCCTAGGGGAAGTCAGCGGGCAGAGGGGCTGAGCAAGGGGAGAATACCAGCGATTGAAATGAAATTCCCACGCGCTCGGGGCAGGAGGAAGGGAGAGCCGGGCACGCACGGCGCCCCCGGCTGTGCCGCGGACACTGTCGGGCTCCCAGCGCGCGGACGGACAGGACTGACTGACAGATCTGAGCGAGGGACTTACCTTCAGGGTTGGCGCTGATGAAGACCCGGACGCTTCGGCCGGCGGGCACGAGGTGAGAAGGCAGGGCGGTGAGGTTCCCAGAGAAAGCCGCCCGCCGGAGCGCGGAGTCCCGGGGACAGGGCAGCCTGGTGCCCGCACCTGCCGGCCACATCGCCCTCTGGGAGGAAGAGCCGCTGCCGCCGCCGCCGCCTCCTGGTCCTCGGTTCCTGCCCGCGGCTCCGCGGAACAGCTAGGTCGATCCCCGCAGGCGGCGCGGCTCAGAGCCGCCCCGAGCCCGAGGCGCCGCCGGCGAGCTCGGTGGCGCACAGTACCGGCCGGCGGGGAGCGGCCATACGGACCCTCGGGCCGCTGACGCCGCC